AATCTTATACTTAAATAAATAATCATTAATCAGACCAAGAATATAGCAACAAAACATATGTTTTCAAGGGGACCGACCGTCTTCTATAATTTGGTTTGGAGAATCGCGTGATTAGGAATTAAGATCTTTGTTATCACAGATCATTTCAATAGAAAATCTGATGCAGCCCCACCACCCACACAGATAACAACCATTCAACTTCCAATGTGGCTTCCTTTGACAAAGTTTTGTTCAATCGAGTAGCTATACTTTAATTTGATTTATAACGGGCAACTGTACTTTGATTTTATTTAAAAAAGGTAACTACAATTACGCTTGATTACAATTTGGGTAACTTTGTTTTATTCCACTAACGATGGCATCACGATCAATAAATGAAGATCATCACACATAACTATTAGTTGCTGACATGAAATAAGTGCAATGCAACTTTAGTGGCGACCATTATTATTGATGATCCCACCATCAATTTTTGTTAGTCCAAAAGATAAAATTGGATGGATTTACTCAATAAAAATTAAATTAAAGTATAATTATCTGATTGAATAAAATTAAAGTACACTTATGTTTGATTTACTCAATAGAACTTGGCACTGAATTTCAATTTCATTAGTTATTTTGCAATGATTACTACAAGTTTAGTTTTCTTATTTTCCATATTGCAAAACTATGTTGTTTCAAGTTTTTTAGATTAAAGACATTTGTCGGTGGAAAATACGTTCTTCATATATTGACCACAAAAAGGAGAATTGGGATACATTTGAGTGGTGTCATTAACTTGTAAACAACAATAAAATCAAAAGGTTGCTTCCTACGAAAATAAAGACGATTCATTTATCATTGAAAAAAGTCCACCTATTACGTACTCGTGTGCATTTGAAAAATCCTTACTTTAACACCTATTTATGAATCTTCTCGCTTTTGATCATCGAAAATCTTGCACATTTTGTGTGCTTGATCATCGTAAATCTAACATATTATGTGAATGGGGTTGAGTTCTGCTAATTTATGATAGGTTGAGAATGTTTGGACCACAATGAGAAGTATGGGTTAACTTCAATTTTTTGGAAAGGTAGGAGACCTACACCACAACTTACCCCGAAGAGAATTTAGCCATTAAAATAGATTATTATTTTATTTTTAATTAGAAATGTTAATTTATTCAATTAAGCCATCTATGATAATGTAAATGATATTTTATTAAATATTATTATTGTCCCCCAAAGTACCATATGTCCGCCTATAATTATTCGTCTTCGATTGTTCACAAAAATTTGGTAGACCTTCACCTTCATTTGTTTGATCGTTTGTTCGTTGACAGCTGCAAGAGGAATATAAAAAATCCACCCAAATGGTGCTTGTGCATGCCTACATAAAAGAGATACATACACATAAATATTTTAATTATCAAGTTAATTATTATTTAAAAATATAGACATGGCTTCTTCTACCCTTTGCAACTTCATCAACTATTTGATGAAATGACACAAGTAGTAAGTAGGTGACATTTGCATATATTTTGATTCCCTTTTGTGGAAGATGGAGGAACAATGTCTAGCACCCCATATTACTTAGTATAATCATGTAATCACTTGGGTTATAGGAGACAAATTAACTTTGTCTATGTCTCATTTATTTCTTGTGGTGAATATATATTATTTTAATTTCATTTTTCACATGTATTAATGAAAGAACATGAGTCATTTATGGGATCAACAACATCTATTTATTTTTTCTGTATTATTAAGAATGGAAGAAATGTACGTCAATCAATGATCGAGCCAAGAGACAAAATTACTGAGACCTAATATAAATTATGAAGACAATATTTATGTTCAAATTCTATTATGTAATAAAGTGCGAGATGGCCACGCCACTTTTTCAAGTGTTTGAAGCAGCCTATCCTCATTGTTGATGCATTTTTTACAGTGTCGGAGGGTTTGTTTAGACCATGCTAAGTGAAAAATCCCGCGTCGATTAAGTATAAAAATATTAAAGAAAATATAAGGGCTCGAACTACTGATATTAATAAAGTTGATATTTTCAGATAAAATTTTAAATCTTAATTATAATTGATATTTTAAATAATTCTTATTAGAGGGTATCCTCTCTCTCTCTCTCTCTTATTTTTATATTTTTCCTTGAGAGAATTAATTTAATCTTTGAGTTGAATACTTTTATTGGGATTGAAGCAAACTATAAAATAAAAGACAAATACACTGAATTTAAAATATGAACAAACGATCATGTATTAATTTAAAATATGAACAAACAAATACACTGAATTCACATATTTTTACTTTACAATGCTTTTGAAAAGTAAAAAATTACTTTTAAGATGAAGAATGTAATTTTGGACTTATTTAAATAATTTTTTAGAAATACTTATTTAATTAGAAGAGTTTTTAAAGAAAGTTAGCTTAATGATACGTTTGACGGGACTTTTACCTTTCGTAGACGAGTTAGCCAACAAAAATCTTTTAAAAAATTATCCAAATATGTATAAAAAAATAAAAATAAAAATTAATGTGGTCAACGCAACTATTTTTTATTATTGACATGAAAAATTGTACCATGTATATGCCAACCTTTGCCCGCATTATAAATATTTGGGGCCTACTTAATTTATTTGGCTCAACACATGTTTATCTTCAGTCAATGTTTTATTTTTCAATTCTGCAATTCTTTTTTCATTAATGAACATTGTATGTACTGTGGGCAATTACTATTTTATTCTTTACCAAATATAAGTAAACATTTTAAGAAGTTCACGAAAATAAGTAATTTTTTTCTTAACTTTTAGGTTTTTGCATTTGGTGAAACAAAAGCATGAAATATATGTTTGTATGTTTTTTTGTCATTAACATGGTAATGTGGCAGAGTAGATTGACGTCCCTAGTCGCTATTATACACCTTTAACTTGTTTTTAAAATTATAATAGCTCTTATTATAATATAATTCAAATTTTAATTGATAAAAAAATTCAAAATATGAATATCTGTAATTTATATTTTTTGCTACGATGACTTGAGGAGTTTTTAAATAAAAAAAATAACATCTTATGCTAATCCTTAAAAAAATAAGATTATGAGGCATCATCTTATCTACCATGTTAGAGTTGAAAAAAAATAAATAAAAATTGATATATCCAAGACTCAATAGAGCCTACTCATCATAATGTATTGTTGTGTTAAATACTAATCTATAGGAAGATACTATAGTGACGGAAATCAGGCTGACATACAATCAGACTGGCACCAACAACAAGGGGACCCACTTTTGAAAAAAAAAAATTTAATTTAGGAGGGGTCCGCAGGCATGTGAGAGGCAGTCACCGTCTTTGTCACCCATTTCTGTCACTACAGCTTAATTCTAATCAATGTATCCGATTTTTAATAATGCATATGGAAAGTAGAGATTCAATGTTTGGAACTTGCTATCTCATAGACTGACTCAAAATATATTTTTGATATATCGACATATCATCTCTTTTTAATAAACAAAATAGACGATGTACTGAAATCTCAAAAATAAAATTTAGGAGAGAAAGGAGACTTGGGTCATCTCATATTACTAATAATAAAGCCACTAATGGTATACTTTGATATTATTTTATACTATTTTATTACCAAATTCGAATCAGATATATGATACAATACACAAGATTCCTTAATCTTCACGTAATCTAATTTTGATTTAATTTTAGGAAGGGGCCAATACTAAGTATGTATAGGTGTGAATTAATTAATGTAAAGGGACCTTAGGCGATGTCAACTTTTCGTGCACGATGATTTGATATCCTAATAAATGCTTAACCCAATTGCAATTTTATTTATTTGTTTAATTATAGTTTTATCCCGTCACACAGCATGCTAAGGTCAGTTTGACAGTTACATTTTTGGCAATTAATGCTCGAATGACGTGTTTATAGTAGAACGTTTTAAATAGAAAAAACACAATAAAGGGCTTTTTCCCCCTCAACAATGACATACAACCATAAAAAATTTATTCATTGAAAAATAATTGGGCCAGTTTGATAGTGATTATGAAAATTAATTTTTTGATCGTTAGAGAGAAAAATAAATCCCACATATAAGTAAAAAAGTCAAAAATGACGGCTGAAATAGTATAATAACGGTTAAAATTTTAATTTTTTTAAGGAAAAATTGCTACCAAACGGGGGCTTGTTGTACATCATCCATTATATAATCTTTTACATATTGATGATGTATCAAAAAGAAAGTAGAGAAATTTTTTTAATTTTGTTGATGAAATTTTGATCCAATCAAACATCTTCAGACAGACTCTAGACGGGAATAGACATCCCAGAAGTTGGTGCTTACTTGAAAAGCACGGGATTCACCCCCTAGCTCTGGGGAGGTCACGAGGGAAATAAATTGATCGGATTATTCGTTCACATCATTTGTTGGTAAATATATCTGTAAGTTGTGATGTACTTGTAGCACAATCGTATTTCATTTTGAAAGATTGATTTTTAGACAATTTTTGTGGTGTCAACATTTCCTTACAAAGAAAAATAAATAGTAAAATGTTTGTAAATTAGGACTAAATACATCAAGGTCATGTACTTTTAACCAACTTGCATCGAGGTCTTTTAACTTATAACTCAACTCTATTAATATTCGTATGATTCAGAAAATCACAATCATGCCGCTTAACATTACTTTAAATTAAAAACAAGAGGGAGGGACAGAAGCAATTAATCATAATCACACGTGTGTTGTCCAGGCTGTTCATTTGACCTTTTAATCTGTCATTATATTACATTTCATAATGATATTATTCTAATTAAGAGTCTGTTCATTTGACCTTTTAATCTGTCATTAAGTTACATTTCATAATGATATTATTCCAATTAAGTTACAGATAAACAGTCAGAATCACTTTGAAAAAAAAATCATTTTTTGATGGAATTATAGAAAAATAAAGAAAACAAGGAGTAGCAAATTTTCATTTTCACGCGTCTCTTTACTGATGTATGTACCTAACCACTGAAAACTCCTCCATGCCTTGTTATTAATATGTCTTCATTCCAAAAATTTGTTGTTCCACATTGCACATTTCCCAGAATTCCATGTGCTATGTTGGGTTATTTTGTGTATTCCCTGCACTTCCATTCAACTTCAAATAAAGATTTCTTTTGGCATTTCTTTCAGTAGAGGTGTAATTCTTGAGGAAACATTTAAGAACAATCTGAAAAGATATTTGACTTTTGGCAATGGGATTGTAAGAGATCTGGGCTTTAGAGTTCGCGTTTCCTGAGGCAATTTTGATATCTGAATTCCATCAAATACAGGTAAAGTTTTAACACTTTGAATCTATAACATTTTTCTGGGTTGTATGCAATTTCTAGTATTTAAATTGAAAAAAGGTAAGTTTTGTTCATTTGGTTCACTGTATTTGTTTTTGGTTGCTTTAAGTGATGATAATCTTGAAAGAAAAAATCAAACTCAGCTGAATTGTATTGAAAGCATATAGGGGTCGCTGTTTTTCATGAATGTTTAACTTTCTATCTGGCAGGCATTTGGTGCAAAATGAGTTCTGGTCTTAATTTTGCTTTGTCAAAGAAAACTCACATCTTTCATCTTAAGGTGTGGATTTTAATAGCAATCTTTTTGGGCATCTTTTCTGTATTGGTTCTCTTGCTGTTGCTGTTTTGTGTATCGTGTAAGAAGTCGAAAAGGGGTAGTGATACACTTCCCATAAGCCAGATTCCAAACGTATCTAAGGAAATTAAAGAGATACGGATCGATCAACATTCAGCCAAGCACTATGTTGGCAATGTCAGGGATTTCTTCACTGTCCAGGACAAGAATGAAAAAGATTCAGATAAGCTTTTGGAACGCTTTGGCGATGAGAAGGCTAAGAATGGTGATAATAGGATTCAATCCTGTTCGTTTAATTACCTGGAGAAAGATGATGCTGTGCTTGTATCTGGGGAGAAGAAGAGCTCTTTAGCAGTACACCGCCCTTCTTCAGATCTTATAACTGTGTCTTCCCCTCTAGCTGGTCTACCTGAGCTCTCTCACCTTGGTTGGGGTCATTGGTTTACACTGAGGGATCTAGAAAATGCAACTGGCAAGTTTTCAAGGGATAATATTATTGGGGAGGGTGGATATGGAGTTGTCTATTGGGGCCAACTGGTCAATGGTACTTCTGTGGCCGTCAAAAGGCTCCTAAATAACTTGTAAGTTTTACAATGGATTTCATCAAATTTGTGAAAAAGAAAACGAGTTCTTGTTTATACAAGTATATGTTGTGACTTCGTGGCACTTTCTGTGTAGAGGACAAGCGGAGAAGGAATTCAGGGTGGAAGTTGAGGCTATTGGTCAGGTTCGGCATAAAAACTTAGTTCGGCTTCTGGGTTACTGTATTGAAGGAACCCATAGGTATAATTCCTTTGTAATTCCTCTCTATTAGTGGAGTTGTCTGATGTAAATGTGAAAACCTTGCATTCTAGATAATGACCTTGAAAAGTTATTTTAGCTCCTGTAAATGATTTTAATTTTCCTTTTATTTCTCTAAATAAAAATTTAGGGTATTGGTATATGAATACGTCAATAATGGCAATCTAGAGCAGTGGCTTCATGGATCTATGTCCCAGCATGGATACCTCACTTGGGAGGCTCGTATGAAGATTCTCCTTGGCACAGCAAAGGCGTGAGTCCATATCTCTCTGTATTTATGAATTTAGATTACCTGCAGGCATCCATTTCTTGAAATAAATTTGATTAAACTCTTGCAGTCTTGCATATCTGCATGAGGCGATTGAGCCCAAAGTGGTGCATCGAGATATTAAGTCAAGCAATATACTGATTGACGAGGACTTCAATGCTAAAATATCAGATTTTGGCCTTGCTAAGTTGCTGGGTGCTGGAAAGAGTCATATCACTACCAGAGTAATGGGAACCTTTGGGTTAGTATTGGTATAAGAGATGCCTCTGATTCAGTATTGGACTAGTTTACTTTCTCTTTTTGTAGAGTACATGTTTAAAAATTCGAAAATCTGATCTGTTTTGCTATATGGCCTTTACCTCGCTTACCACAGATATGTAGCTCCGGAATATGCAAACAGTGGCCTCCTAAATGAGAAGAGTGACGTTTATAGCTTTGGTGTTGTGCTTTTGGAAACAATAACTGGCAGAGATCCCGTTGATTATAGTTGTCCGGCACCTGAGGTATGTATGTCAAAAAATCGATGTCTTATGTTACTGCAGAGGCATTAATTGTGTTCAGTTTTTCTGAAGGTATATTGATTCTGATAATTATTCTTTGAGAAATGATTATTCATCTATAGTGATTTCGAATTTTAAAATTTTGAATACTATGAAGTACCTACTGACATCTAGGTTCGAACTAAAGAAAGAGTAACTTAAAAAGAAAATTTTAGTTTTTGACTTTTTGGAAGCCTCATTCTCCTTGTTAGCAGGATTTGCATGTTCCAAAATTTCGAAGTATAACATTAACAATGCCATCGGAATTTTCTTGCAGGTGAATTTGGTCGACTGGCTCAAGATGATGGTAGGAGCCAGACGGTCAGAAGAAGTGGTTGATCCCCTTATCGAGGCTAAGCCATCGACATCTGCCCTGAAACGAGCTCTTTTGACTGCCTTAAGGTGTGTTGATCCAGACTCTAACAAAAGGCCAACAATGAGTCAAGTTGTTCGAATGATCGAGTCGGACGAATATCCAGTGCCACGAGAGGTTAGTATTTCACTTGATCAAAATTTATATCAAATTATCAAATGTTTGTGATTTTAGTTAAACTTGATTTGAATTGTAAGCTTTCTGAATTATAAGTAGTCATCTAATGTTATGTCTTCAACCTACAGGGTCGTGGAAGGAGGAAGAATCAAGCAGTCGGAAAGCAAAAGTGACGGTCGAGCATAGCCAAGTGGAAATACATACAAAAATGATTTATAGATTTAGGAAATAGGAAATAGGGAAAGGGTATATATTTACAGGATACAGAATTATGAGACACAATTTGTGCAGTGCTTTTGTGTTGTTTTTTACTTTTCACTTTATTCTGTGTAATTTGAACAGAAGGATATGAATATATTCAGCTTGATTGAACAAGGATTTTAACTTATTAAGGGTTTTGATGACTTTGGATTTTAATCCATGTTTTCACGCTTGTGTGATGAAATTATTTTCTGCTATGACATGGCACTGTCGTACAGCGTATGATGCTACCGAAATGTAGGCCTGGGCATTTTAATTGGAACCGAATCTTTCGAACCGAAACTGAACCTGAATCGGAGGTTCCAGTTTGGTTCCCTAAAAAAAAATTAAGAACTGGAACCGAGAATCGATAACTGACTGGGTTCAATTCGATTCTTGGTTCCTGAACCAAAATTATGGGTACTCGAGTGGAATCGATTTGTATAAAAAAAAATCATTTAAAATTTATAGGCTGAAAAAATATATAAAACCTAAAAATCCTAATTTTGATAGTAATTAGTCTAAAACTTTAAACTTTAACCTTGAAAAGTTATATTGGCTCTTACTTTTTTACATCTCGCCTTATATCTGATTGTTGCATTTCAGAAGTTATTATATGTTAATGTTTATAATTTGAGCTTTTTATAAATCAAAATTTTCAAATAGGTTATAGTGTAAATTGATGAATTAAAGCGTTTATTCTTTGCAATTCAAGTTTTTTACCTTCTTATATTGTTATTAAACTTCAGTTATTTTTCAAATTTTTCATCACGCATGGCAATTGAATTTGATATATTGATTACTTGTGTCGTGTTGTACATTTTTGTTATCTTGAGTTCATGATTCTCTTTTTAAGTATATATATATATATTTTAGTTTTTTATTCAAATAGAGTGAGTTCATTGTGTGGACCATAATTTTTTTATATTATATTAATTATGTATTTAATTAGTATTTTTTTATATCAGTTCATTTTAGAAGCAAAAGAAATTAAGCATTGCTCATAACTAAATTATATGCCTAACATGCTTCTCTTATAGCTCGAATAAGATTTATTAAGAAAACTAATTTTTTCTCAAATTATAATTTCATATTTTATCTTTATTTTATTTTATCCTATTTTTGTGGTTTTTTAGTATCCAATATCTTGATCCTTGAAAAATTTTTAATTGAATTTTCTCCATTACACAAATATTTTTGAGTAGCAGTGCATTAGTTATATGTACCAAAAGGTCTACGTGAAATATTTATTAAATAAATATATATAAAAATGTCATGGGTAGAACCGAAATCGAACTAGAATCGACGGTTCGGGTCTAAGTTTGATTCCAGTATTTACAAAGACCCGAATGATTCCATTTGCGAAATACCCAAAGCATAATGGATGGTTCCAGGTATTGAATACTCGGACTGACCTACTCGATGTCTAGATCTATCGAAATGTACCAAAAATATGATTCGTCTCTCAGATATCTAATAGGCTGTAATTCAAGGACTGAACGCAAACTCACTATAACAATGAAAAATGTTTAAATAAAGACTTCCTCAATGAGATTGAAAGAACGTTACTATAAATACAAGAACTCGAGGAAAAATACAATTCTTCCTAACTCTTCCGCCTCTCTTAATTTCTGGCTGCCTCGCTCTCCTTCCTATATGTTTATTTATATCTTTCCCTTAACTAACTCTAACAACTTCTTAACAAATTTACTAACTCAGCATTTCTTCTAGAGATTTCCTGTGGACTCTTGTTGTCACGTGCTGGCTTCCCCATCATGTACTTGCTTGACCTTCTTATGCCTTGTATAAGTGAATTTAATTGGAGGCTTATCAAATACCCCTCCCAATGCAGTCACCTTGTCTGCAAGAGTTCAAAGAAGGAAACTATTGGTTGATTAATTCAAAGGGTTCAAAACTTGCTTCCATAGGAGATAAACCTTTCCACTAATTCAAGACTTTCATAGCATTTGATGGACCCTCTGTGGCTGTTTGAATGCTAACACCATTTTCGGTTCCACAAGTAACTTCCAGTCTTTATCAATTTGAGGAGGCAGGGAAGAAGTTACTGGAGCCTTTCCGACCACTTATCTAAATTGCGAAACATGGAAAACGGGGTGAACTCGGGCATCAGCTGGTAGTGACAAACGGTAAACCATTTTTCCCACTCTTGCCAATACTTCAAACGGTCCATAGTACCTCGGAGCTAACTTCTCATTGTGGCATACCATAAGTGACCAACGCCTATATGGCCTCATTTTCATATAAACCCAATCTCTTACCGTGTACTCCACATTCTCCTATGTTTGTCGGCTGCTGATTTCATTTGTTGCTGAGCTTTATGGAGATGTAACTTCAATTCATCCAAAAATTTGTCTCGTCACCGCATTTGTTGCTTCAAAGAGGATATGGCTGTGACACCTCTCTCGAAGCGAATTAATGGGGGTAGATCGCGACCATATAGGATGGGAACTGGGGTGAGTTGGGCCAATACGTGATAAGAAGTATTTAGCCCAATGAAGAAATTGATACCACCTTCTTGGTTTTAACGAAGCAAAGCACTGTAGATATGTTTCAATACCCCTATTTACCATCTCTGTCTGACCGTCGCTTTGCGGGTGATGAGTGAAACTGTGTTTTAATGAGGTTCCTTGCAACTTAAAAAGCTCACTCTAGAACTTGCTTATGAACACGTTGTCCCGATCTGAGACTATGGAACGGGGGCACTCTATGAAGCTTAACCACTTCTTTAACAAAAATTGAAGCAACTGATGGGGCTGAAAAAGGATGCTTCAGGCCAATTAAATGTGCATATTTGCTTAAAAGATCTACTATTACCAAAATCGAGTCAAAAGCCTCTGATTTTGGCAGCCCTTCTACAAAATCCATTGAGATATGGGCAGTGGCTGGAGCAGTCCTACTGGTGCCAAGGTGGAATATTTATGTTGCTGACAAATTTCACACGTAGCAACATAGGTCCGGACATCCCGTCTCATCCCTTTCCAAAAAAAAAAGTTTATGCCACTCTCCTATAAGTCTTTAGAAATCTCCCATGCCCTCATACCTTACTGTTATGCCCTTCCTGTAAGGCTAGTTGCACAAACTGTGGGTCTCATGGTAGCACTAGTCTGCCGTGATACAACAGGTTATCTCTCAGCAAGGAATACCTTGGACATTGTGCTAGATCTAAAGACTGGGGCAAACCTAGGGCCATGAGAGCTGTCGTTGCATCCTCCCTAGAAAGAGCATCCGTTGCCTTGACCTGTTGTCTGAGCTCTTCAAAGGCTCCAGCAGTGACGACTGCCGGCTGGGGCTCTGGCACTTCTGATGATTCCTCTTGAGGAACAGGGATATCCTCAGGAGGGGGTTGGTTTGGAGCGGATGAGCTTGCGGGTGGAAGACCTGATCGTGTGTTTACCATGACTTTTGGTAGCGCTTCCCACAGACGGCGCCAATGATGCTACCAAAAATCGTACCTGCTGATTTTCCGAGCTTGATGATTGGTGAGGAGCACGAACGTGATCTTCCGATACCTGAAACAAAGGCAACGAGGTGTGTTCTCGTCGCCCCTCCGATGCTTAAGTCAGAAAGGGAAATATATGCGTGAGGCTATGTGCTGAAGAACAATGTAAAACGTACCTGAATAATGGTTCAAGGTCCTGTATTTATAGGGGTAGGTAGTGTGTTCATATCAGGATTCCGCATTGCACCTGTAGTAGGATAGCTTGATTTTGCAATTTTATACCAATGAGTCCTGCGCGAGACAGGAGTTTGAATTGTGGTATAATTGTGATACCAATAGAGTTCTTCTGGGCATAGGAGACATAAATTAAGGATACTTAGTCAGAATAAATCTCTCGTTGGACAAGGCGCTGTCGTAGGTCATAATCCCGAGGACATAGTCCCGAGGACATGCGAATGATTGTGTAATAAATCTTCGGGCTATTAGCCCGGGCACACATGATACCCGAGCACATATGTCCCGAGCATTTTGATGCACATACTGACGAAATCGAGTCCTCGGTCTATATTCGTCGGGAATAATACTCGGTAATATCAGGTGGTAAGTCCTACCATCGAATTTATGGAGAGTTCAACCTGCGCCCCTAATTCTATCTCATGATCTTCTAGGTGCATGTGGAAGCAATCGGCACCATAACTATACCCACCGCCTCCAAAGCCCGGTTCCCCTCCATCTCCAGTATCTTCTTCTTCATTTTCCCTTATCACCATTACCTGTAATTCTTTATTTTTGCATCGATGCCCAATAGTGAACTGCTCATCTGGTGGTAAGTCCTACCATCGAATTTATGGAGAGTTCAACCTGCGCCCCTAATTCTATCTCATGATCTTCTAGGTGCATGTGGAAGCAATCGGCACCATAACTATACCCACCGCCTCCAAAGCCCGGTTCCCCTCCATCTCCAGTATCTTCTTCTTCATTTTCCCTTATCACCATTACCTGTAATTCTTTATTTTTGCATCGATGCCCAATAGTGAACTGCTCATCACATCGGTAACATAATCCTTTCTAGTTCTTCGCCTGAAACTCAAAGTCCATCAATCGCTTGAAGGGAGTGGCGGTTTTAGGTGGGTAGGTGGGTTGATTTGGAGTGAAATTAATAGGCATAGTGGTCTTCTGGAAGTTTACAGAGGCTTGGTAGCTTTGTAGGTTAGTATTTAACTTGGGCTTACTTGGGTTAAGACGGATTTGAGCATCCATTTCCTCTACTTGTTGGGGCAGGTCTATTATTTGCTCCAGGCCCACTAGGTTTAGTAACTAGACCTCAGCCTTAATACGTGGGTTAAGCCCATTAATAAAATTACATTCCATTACCTTTTCTGAAATATTTTGCAGAGGAGAAGCCAGCTTCTCAAACTGCCGGTGATATTCCTTAACAGTAAAAGTCTGCCGGAGAGCCAAAAATTGGGTGCACAACGAACCTTCCTATGATTGTCGAAATCGGCATAGCAGCTTGACCGTGAATTCCTCTCAATTTCTCATGGGTCGCTAGCAGTCCTCCCATTGAAACCAAGCCAGGGAATCCCCATCCAAGCATACAGCTGTTGCATCCCATTTTTCTTCCTCTGTCAACTTATTCAACGTGAAGTAGCGCTCAACCCGAAAAACCCAGCCATTTGGATCGATCCTATC